TTGGATATTTTAAGTCTCACAATTTTTGATGCTGGAAGAATAAGTAGTTTCTTAATCAAGGATAGATGTAGATGTCTATGAACCACAACATCCACTTACCATTTATCTACTACTAGGTGGACTGTGTGCTCGTTTGTCACTCTTATCTTATAAAAAAATTAAAACATGAACCGAAGACCCTTTTTTATATGTAACGAGGAATTCCAGTCATTAGTCCTCAGGGGTGACAATTACTCATCTGTATATTATCTCTCAATCGGTGATAAATTTAGGGCCACTGCTTCCACTTCAGCGATCAAGTGGACTGTGTGAAGTGTAAGAATGTGGAAGAATAAGTATTCAATAGAATTATCAGTAATTTCATCAGTTACTTATTATTAGTTTATTTAGCAGTAAGTAGATGGCAGTATTATGAGATTAAAACTATGAAAACAGAAACTGTAATAAGTTGAGGTGCGACTGGGGTGACCCGATCACACAACAAAGCCGCCAACATTTATATAATACATAATTAGGCATAAAGTGATCTAGATTCTATTAAAACTTCTGCATCTGTCAAAAATATGCTATCAGCGCTGCTAGCGGTGTGTAATGAAATTATTTTACGATATAACAATATGAAGAAATAGCAATGTTATTTAGTTGTTAATGGTCATGTTATATCATGATATAGTCAAAAAACAATGGTAAAGAACAATGGCAGACTTTCATACATAAAATTAGTTGAGAAAGAATGGTAGCGTCTATATATCAAAATTATCTTTGTTAAGCGTCAGTCCCTTAATAACACTGTCGAAGAATTTTGTCCTGAGAAGGCGTCAAAAAAAAGATATTTAGGTTTGAACCTTTTTAGGTTATGTCTTATGTTATTTGGAAAAAGTCATGCGTCCTGTCGTTGGTTGATGTTAGCTTAATATATTCTCAACATAATGTACCTACCTATATAATTAAGAGTTTTTAGATTATTGTGTCTCCATTATATATTTGCATACTATAAATGTATATTTTTGGCACGGCTCCAGGGCCTTTGTGTCATACAGTGACATTTTCAGAAGGGCTAGAACCCAGAGCCTTATAGCCAGTAAAAAAACAGTAACATTTTGTTTTAGCTAGTGTTGCCATAACATTAAATGACTTATTTTCAACCATATCACTTTTATTTTTATTATTACTGACAGTATAGTTATTACTAACAATAACTTAATATAAAAATGTTTTGTGTTTGTGTGTTGTGTTGGTAGTCTTACAAAGTGTATACGAAAATAGTATCAATATAGTGAATGGCAACACTTAAATAGAGGAAAATGATTTAAGGGAGTTTTGACGGGAACTTGACCGGCGGCGGTTTGCTGCTCCTGTATTATAGTTTAAATAATAGTTTGAAGTGGATTTTGATATGTAAAAGTGGTGCGATTTTATGTATTAAATGTCTACGCATGTGAACTATTAGTGGAAACGGTGAAACAAGTGCTCTGATGGTGATGGATTCTCAAGATAAGCTGTTTGTCTACATAGGTGCCTTTAGATACCATCGCCAAATGTCAGCTGTCTGCTGGCTCAAGTTGCCGTCAAAATCTCCCAAGGGCTGCACAATGTGACGCATCAACATATTGTGAAGCAGTGAACAATGAAGGATAATTATACATTTGGGGAAATTATAATAAACCGAATAAAAATACTCAAGACTTGGCCTAAAGGTCTAGATACCAGGCCATAAACTCCAAAAAAAAATGATTTAGGTCATTTGATATTTCCAAAAATGTTTGTTTTTTACTGTGGCTTTAATTAAAATACATTTTTATTTGAAAAATCATAGAAAAATAATAAAACTCATTTTATATATAACTTATTTCTAGACGCAATCATTTTTGTCAACTATTTTTCGGCCATTGTTCAAGTTCTGGCTAATACATATATAAAAATATCTTTATTTAAACTACATGGATAGTGAGAGGTTTATCAGTTTATTTCTAGGTAATCAAAACTTTTTACAGAGTAGAAATTAAACTTAGAAACATCTCACATTTTATGATTTTCGATAGATCTCTCTATTATATTACTATAAACTTTATTCATTCCTACTAAAATGAAATAACGAAAGAACTGAAAAATGAACGTAAGAATTTTTAAATAATTATGAATTAAATTATTAAAACATATAAATGTATGCTATATATTTTATTTTAGATATTAGTAACTTGAGGTAAAATGGTACTACTTTTTGAATTTCACGTTAGATGGCACTGTTTTGATAAAGAGAAACTTAGATTGTCGGCGAAGTTAAGATTATTACGCAACGGTTAAAACTAATTTTAGGCTTTATTTATAAATATGTTATTTATTTAAAAACAAAACATCAATAATCTATAATATAAAATAGAAATTAACATCTTGAGGAAGGAAAATACTTAACCCTCCTTTTTAGAAGTTTCGTAATCGTATAAAAAGTAGCCTATAAATTGCCCCGGGTCCCTACCTACCTACACACAAAATTTCATGGAAATCTGTCCAGTAGTTTTTGCGTGAATCGGGAATACACAGACAGACAGACAGTCAGACAGAAATTCTAAAAACCACTAATTTGGCCTCAGTGACCTTTATTTAGTCCCCTGGAATTGTTTTTTCCAGAAAATATAAGAATTACAGACACTACTTTTCTACAAATTTATTATATGTATAGATAACTGACGCGAATGTTTCATACTATGTTAGCGCTACGAACGTGATTCGTAATTACCTTAATATATCTGCAGTGGCAGTGTATAATTTCCACTACGTAATGCATGAACGAATATAACCCCTGGGAATAAGGTGATCCGCCACAGCATCGTGAAAATTCATTTATAACTTGTACAAACAAAATTATTGTTAAGTGAAATATGTTTTTAAAAAAAGTCCCGCTGGGATTCTTGGTGGTTCTTCCCAGGACAGAGGTGTTTTCCGAACCAGTAGTAAATAAAATATGACTTTCAATAAGTATTATGTAATGATTGATGATTGAATAAAAAATCATTCTTTTCTACTCACCCATATCGTCCCGTGGGTGTTGTAATACGCGAAAACAAACAGCGGAAACAAACCAGAAGATAATCAGTAGCGTCTTCCTTATATCAGCACATTATGTAAAAAAAATTGCGGTTGCCAACCCGTCTGCCTAGCGTGGCAGCTATGGCAAGATCCCTGTTATTTTTTAAGTGGTAGAGCCATGCTGCAGCTATATTAGTAATATAGTTGTAGCACGAATGGGTCGGCTCGACCGGGGAAGGACCACGCTCTCACAGAATACCAGCGTAAAATAGCAGCTTAATGCTGCTGTGTTTCGTATGGTGAGTGTAGAGAACCGGAGACCCTTTTTACTGGAAACGAGGCATTCCATCTTATTCCTCACGGGTGACAACGCATCTGCATTTTGATTCTTTATTAGCATTTACTGCCCAGAAAAGAGCTATAAGAGCAATGGTATGCGTTCCGCCTTGGGAATCATGTAAAGAATACTTCAAAAAGCTAAAAGTTCTTACAGCACCCAGCGTGTATGTTTTGATACTTCTGACTGATGTTATAAAAAACAGGCATTTTTATGAAAGTGATGAAGAAATGAAAGAGAGAGAAAGCACCAGAAGGATGGACTTGACTTTGCCTATTATACCTAAAATGGAAATTGTAAAACACTGTCCTCGTTATCAGGCAGTTTTACTTTTTAACAAGATGCCAAAAAAACTAAAAGAAATAAAAAAGTTAAGTGTTTTTAAAACAGAGTTGAAAGCACTACTTATAGAGAAATGTATTTACAGTGTTGATGAATTTTAACTATAGAGTAGTCATAATATTTATTTAAATGATAATAAATTTAATAGTTTGATTATTTCTCATTTCTTTTTATTTTTTGGAAGTTTAGTTTTTTATTATATTATGTAAACAATATATTATTCAACATTTGTGATGAATATTAATCGTTAAGTAGGTAGAATAATGATTGTGATGACATTTATTAGTTAATTTAATTTTTTTATTTTATTTTATTGTTTGATTATCTAATTAAATTATTTTGTTTAACTAAGTTAAGTTTTAGCAATATAAATTTGACATTCCTGAAATATTCGTACACAATTTATTGTTAATGAATAAAGACATTGATTGATTGATTGATATTGAGGATAGATGTGGATGTCTATGGGTCACAGCAACCACTTACAATCAGGTGGACTGTGTGCTCGTTTGTCACCCTATCCCATAAAGAAATGAGACAATCTATGTATCTATGGATGTTCAGCCGTGGTCTTCTATTGGCTGTAATAGATGGATGGATAGATAAATCGTTGTGTGACATCAAACATTTAACTAGGTATTGACTTTTAACTATTTTCTATGGTATTCCCTTGATTCCTGATATTTTATTTCATTGTTTGTTTTATTTTAAAAGAAGAATTGAAACTGTTATATTATGTATAAGAAACACGCTGCAGCAGCTTGACCGGGAAGGTACCTCGCACGCACATTCTGTTTATGTACCTATGTGCACATCCTTATAATATTTAACCTCCACATACCTATGAAGAAGCTAAAATCAAGCCATTATTTAAAAATATACTTAAATAGAGAACCACCTGATCTTTAATTAAAAATCCAAATGCAGATGCGAAGTCACCCCTGACCCCTGAGGACTAATATGGAATGTTTCGTTTCCAATAAAAAGGGTCTTCGATTCTCTACAGTCACCATACGAAACAGCAGCATAAAGCTACTATGTTACGTTTGCATTCTGTCTGTGAGAGCGTCCTTCCCCGGTCGAGCCGACCCATTTGTACTAAAACTATAATATAGCTGCAGAATGGTTCTTATCACATATGAAATACTGCGTTAACGTCTTCTACCAGTAAATTGTGCTCAATGTTAACGATTTGCGCTATTTGTATCGAAGCTGTGTCTTTGTTTTTGAAATAAACTTTATCACGCCCACGTATTGCTTTGTATTCTTATGAGACATATGTGTGCTGTTCCAGGGCTACGCGCCGCTGTATAACTCGTTCGAGCAGTTCTTCTCGCGCTACTTGTACCGGCGCGTACGGCACTGCTTCAACCGGCCCATCTGCTCCACGCCTGCAGCAGAAGTCACTATCAAGGAGCGCTACACCGACGACTACAACTGGACATTTAAGTATGTACTCGTATATCTTTTGATTGCGTAAGATCACGCGGGACCAAACATTTATATGTATACTACTAGTGTTACTACTGCTACGGCACTACGGTACATTGCGCATTAAGTTACGGTCAGTTCTCCGTAAGTCCTTTAGTCGACTGCAAGCGGCCGAGAAGACGAGTTCTTCAACTTCACTGAATTTGTTAAATGTGACTAAAAAAACGCTGTCATTATTTATGTGCGCACTTTGTAAAAATGATTTGAAGTTTATTTCAGATAAGTATGTAACTTTATTTCGTATTTTCCTGAAAACGGTAGCTGTCGTAAATGAAAATACAACTGCGTTACATATTTATCGTGCCAGCTACCGGCCCGTGCCCGCGTGATCTCGCGCTATCACACGCGAGCGTGATACACCTTGTTCTGAATTGCCGGTCAAGTGGTATGTATGTGTAGCTTTGTGCGGGACAATTGATTCTAAATGTTTAGAATGAACGGCATTACAGGTTCACGGGCACGGAGCGGCGCTGCATCAACCTGGGCTCGTACAACTACCTGGGCTTCGCGGAGCCGACGGGTCCGTGCGCGGATGCTGCGGCCGAGGCGGTGCGACGCTACGGACTCGCGCTGGCCTCGCCGAGGGCTGAGCTCGGCTCCTGCGCTCTGCACAAGGAGCTGGAGGAAACTACCGCGCGTTTCCTTGGCGTCGAGGTAATATTCATTGTCGTATCATTACTACGAGGGTGACACTGAAAGTTATTAGTTTTATTATATCTTTTGAAAATAGTGTCCATTTACATCAATACATCGCTGCATCCGATGGAACCACCGAGAAAAGTACTTTGGCCACTCATCCTTTGTCACTTCGACGGCATTTTGAAACGCAGCCACTGCTTCCTCGGCGTCCATAAAACGTTTTCCTCGAAGTTTTTCTTTTATTTTCGGAAATAAAAATCGCAAGGTGCGAGGTCGGGGCTATAGGGCGGGTGACCCAGTAATTCCACGTCTGAAGTCGCCAAGTAGTCGATTGTTTGCTTGGCGGTGTGCAACGAGGTGTTGTCGTGGTGAAGGAGGATCCTACTGCGACGTAGTTTCTCCCGAACTTTTTCCAAGTCAAGTGACAAACCATTGTTAGTTTACTACTCTGCGGTAACAGTTTTTTGATCCTCTAAAACAATTGTTGCGTAACGACCTGTCCTTCCGAAGAACGAGGCCACCATCTTTTTCCACGCTTCGACCTCTCTTCACTTTAGTTGACAACTCCTCGGAAGGAAACACCCAGACAGCAGACTGTCTCTTAGTTTCAGGATCATAACAATAAATTTCGTCACCCGTAACTATGTAGAACACAGCATTTGAGTCACCTCCGTTAAATCTTTGAACTATTTCACGACACAAATCAACACGACGGAGTTTTTGGGCCTCTGTCAAATTATGAGGTATCCACCGGGCACAAAGCTTCCTTACCGCTAAATGTTCATGGAGGATTTTGTGCACTAAGCTTGTTCGAATCTGCTGATAAGTCACTCTTTTGTCGATTTCTATCATCGCACAACACTGATGTTATCTTCAGTCGTCGCCGTAGAAGGCCGTACCTCACGCAGATCATCGGTGAGATTAGTGCGACCACGTTTAAACTCATTAAACCAGTTGTAAACAGTGGCACGAGATGGGGCTTCATCTTGAAAGGTCAAACGAAGACTATCAAAACTTTCTTGTTGACTTAAATGACATCGAAAGTCATAAAACGAAAAGTTTCTCGCGTTAAATTCATGCTGATGTGACAGATAATTTTCAATTTTAAACAGTTATTTTCAACAGTGGTAGAGCCACGCGGCAGCTTTTGCTGTCGCACGGATGGGCCGGCTCGAACCGGGGTGGTACCACGAACTCACAGAAAACCAGCGTGAAGCAGAGGTTTACCTCTGCGTTTCGCTTGGTGAGTGCAGGTGGCCGGAGGCCCTTTTTACTGGAAATGAGGCATTCCATCTTAGTCCTCACGGGTGACAACGCATCTACATTTTGATTTGTAATAGAGGATAGATGTAGATGTCTATGGGCCGCAGCAACCACTTACCATCAGGTGGACTGTGTGCTCGTTTGTCACCCTTATCCTATATAAAAAAAATATTTGCTGCCAAATCGTAAACAAATACAAATTAATAAAATACATACAATCAAAGGAGAATGCCCATTAATGTATGGAATCTCATACCATGTTGCAACAAAATCAAACTTTGTTTTTTATAAACTACATACACTGATCATATTAACTCCTACAAAAGTTATTTAAAAAAAAAAAAAACTAGGTTTTGGGAGTTATTTTATAAAATCGAAAATAACCTAAAAATTAGTTCTATTTTTTCTACACTACCAACGACCTATTTTAAATAGGACACGTTAAACCCAGACGAATATTATGGCTCTAAAAACTGCGTAATCCACTAATATTAGTAAGAATTACGAGTTATAGCAACATATAGCAGTGCCACAGGATGCGTGACTGAAACTCTGAGATTTGCACGACCTTTATACATATTGCCAATACTGTGAGCGGGTAACGTATGTTAAGGGTAATATACTCGTATCATTGGAAACCTCTGTGACTACACTACCACACTATACCAATAAAACATTATTATAAGGGAGACTGTAAAAAAACGCTCGTCGAGTCTAGAGAGCGTCTTGAACAATAACCCTTTAATAATCTTAAGATACTATTCATAACAGACACTATTGCTCATGGTCATGTTGTTGTCGTGAATCGATTAAGTAAGCGATAGAGAAAAAAACAAACAAGTCCATTTTTAATAATAAGTTTTGGGTTTTTTAACAGCGATTAAAAGTCAAAAATATTTAATATACATTTACTTAAATCATTCATCATACTCTTGAACAAAATCATCTAAAGCCGTTGCCGGAGCAGTTACGTCATTATACCGTTCCCAGCTCAAATACCACACTATCGTCATTATATGAGCAGCCCACTGTTCGCTTACCGACGAGGCAGCTGCAGCAATAGCCTACTATGGTTTGTAATGTGTTAGCCACAGCATCATCTCTGCTAATCAATAAATAAGTATGATAAGTACGACTGTTCACATGTCTAGATTTAATCCTACTTCTTTCTCTTTTTAGCCTGTTTGAGTTGGTAGGTCCCGAGAGCTAACGGTTTTAAATCAGTTATTGTCAATTGTGGAAATCCATCTAAATGTGGATTATTGCTGTTAATCATCTGAAAATCACTCTCCTATTGAGATTTGCCTGTTCAACATATATTGCCAAATAGTTCTCAAGTGAAAGCCTATCTTTAGCAATTCTTACATATTCCAAGGCTTCTGGTCGGTTTTATATAACAACATGAAACTTATTAATTAGGTCACAAGAGTTTCTAAAATCATCCTTTAGGTGCAAAGCCGCTCTATTGTTAAAAACATGACGAAAGAGTCTAAAATCTCTTTTCACCCTCCCATTAACCACTTCTACAACCCAGCGGCACATAGTAATAAAACGAGACCGATTTGCCTGCTGGGTTGTTAGTTGATGTTCATTCTCAAGTAGAGACTGGCATATGTGCTACAAAGCCATATCCCTGGAGTTCATTAATTACATCCCTAAATCCTCTGTCAAGGATGAAAATGTCACCTCTTCAGAAAAATGATCTTAAACAAGATTCCTCATTATATAAGTTTAAAGTTGTAATAGTAGCATCATTAGTAGTCGCATTGTATGGCCCGAGACAATCCACAATACGACCATCACAAGACACTATTGTTGCGCGCCACAATTAATGGATGGTACATGGCAACACTAATTACCATTAGCGCCCTCTAGTATCGATATCGTCTACTCGAGTAGTAGAACTAGGAGAGTCAAGATTCTTATAGAATATTTCCATGGAAGAACTTTCTAGAACTATCGACACCTAGTCAGTCGAAACCGGTATATACTCGAACATTCTAGGTGTTTCTACAGTAGAAGGTTCTGGAAACTACCTCAGCCCCTATATAAGGCCGGTATAGACTGCAACCGAGTCATTATTGAATTGGCGATACAAACGAATATTTCGAAGCGATACAACTGTGAACTAAAGTGATCAGTAGTAGAATTATGTTTTATTATTAGTGTGGTTTTAAGTTGTAATTAGTGTTCTGTAATTAGTGTTAATTTTAGTAATTCAATCGGCAGTTTTTAATTGTCTCGAACCCCAAGCTCGTAACACTATCATAAATGGTTTGACCAAATTATCCAATTTTTGTAAACTGTATTTTGAAATAAGTAATTAAAACTACTTTGGATAAATACATAAGTAGCATCACATATGACTTGCTGGTTTAGAATTAGGTGGCAAACCAGGATTACCAAATAATCCTTCTAGTATTATTCTATTTCTAGAAGCAACATCTTCAGCAGTCATATGATTAAATCCCAAGTAAACACGCTCTGGCCTTATTCATTAAGCGTTCTAAGTTGACACGAGATTTTTTAAAGAGAGTTGCCAACCTTTCATTACTATCACCAGTTCTCAGCTTAACTAAGTAAATGCTTAAAGCAATGGAAGCATTTGATACTTGTCCTGCTAGACTTGGGATACAGTTTAACAAATCATAAAACTGATCCGAGTCCATGCCAAGCCAAAAGTGATACAAATATGTAGGCATAATTAAAATTTTTGAAAAATCTATATGGTAATAGGCAGCTCGCTGCATTATATTCATAATTGTGTCAAATTGAAATACCGGTAAAGTCTCTTAGCTGGGAAGATAATTGGCTCTAACGACCATGATGCAGGTGGTGACGACAGATTCGTGCTGCCAGTGGCACATAGAATTTTTAATTAAGTAATAACAGATCCTTTATAGATGAGGGTACCAGTAAACGTTCTGTTTCAAAACTATTAACAAATATACAGTGATTGGATGTGCTAGCGGCACGCTTATACGTAGAAGATATAATTGTTGAATTTGATCTAACTTGGTGTGTAGTGTGTAGTGTAACAGTGTGTAGGTTTTGTTGTGGAAGAGGGGCGGCTCAGTAATTGAGATGCCCACTTGATCCAGCACCTGACAGACCGGGGCGATTGGAGTCGTGCTGATCACAACGTTGCACTTCTCTTGTAGCTGATCTCCAGCACGCAGTACATACTTTTTCCAATCTTGAGATCTAAAAAAATTACATGATTAAACATGTAATAAAAAAAACATTTCACAATACGTTATATACTTGATAAAAGTATGTACTGTAATGTGATGTAACTGTTAGAAATATATGATAATGATCGGGTAATAATTGTGTCAAAATAGATAATATTATCTAATACCTACAACATTATTTATTTGTGAAACCTTCACTTATCGGAACTCAATATTATAAACACATCTAATAATAGTATTATCACTATCAACTATAGAAGATTGGAGAAAAGTAGAACATTAAAAAGAATTAGAATTTTTTTAAATATTGCAACATAAATAAAATATTTACCAAATGCCTGCTACATTTGGTAACATGTCTAACTAACATGTTTCTCTCTTGTCGATCTTGTTCTAGTTGCACGTAGAATGGAATTGCCACAATAAAAACATAATTTTCTATGACCAAAAGCAGACAATCCTTCACTGATTGTGTTTCTCGATCTTGAAACAGTGTCAAACACTTGTACAAAGCACACATTCTGAAGACTACTGCAATAACAACCATGAATAAAAAAGTGTGTTTTACTTTTACCCTTTGTGGCGTTATGTATCTTCTTTAACATATTCATAGAAGTTACACCTATATGTAATCAAGAGTAAAGCCTTTTTTGGCCTCAAACAGGTTCAATTTTTGTTATTTATTGTGCAAGTCTAAAATAATATTTCTTTCATTCTATAAAAATGTTTTGTAAGATGGTAGGGTGGTGGCGATCTGGCATTCTTAGGTATATATCCAAAGAGTAAAATAAGATCTGCTACCTGAGTAGGAGTTCTCCACGACTGTAACAAGTTAATCATTGGAGTAGACGCTTGTATGTGTAGGTAGGTTTCTGGTTATCAAAAATGAATAATTGATACATCGTTGGTTTTGCCGGGTGACTGACTGTATCAATTGGTCGACCCCACGACTCGACATATTTGTTCAATTAAATACACAGAAAAAGTTCACAAAATACAACAAGTTCTACTTCTCAATATTACAATTCAATAATTAATTAATCTCAACCCCTCAAAAACACAGACGGTCGTATTTGCTAGCGCAAACGCAAAGTTGGTGTTAGTGCGTCAGTGCAAATGTCAGACTCGGATAACTATAAACCATAAACTAGACATATCATTCTGAAATAATCTATAATCGATTTTCAGATCGATGTGGGACACTACATCGATTCGATGAAAAGATCCTCCGTCTAATCTCATCTGTGCTTTTTATATAGTTATCTATCAAAGGAGTTTTGGCGGGACTTGACAGGCTGATTGCTGTTCCTGTATTATGGTTGAAATAATGGTTTCAAGTGGATTTTGCTATGTTAAAGTGGTTAAAATTTGCATATTAAATGACTGTGCATCTGAACTATTAGCGATAACGGTGCAATAAGTTCTTCGATGACCTTGAAATACTATTACAAACTATCTACTGGCTCAAGTGACCGTCAAAATCTCCTAAAAACTACGCGATGTGGTGCATCAACATGTTGTGAAGCAGTGTACTATAAAATATTCTTATCACTAGATACTAAGATAAATGAATACATAGCTTAAAGTAGAAGCATCCAAGCTAAAAACCTAAATAAAAATAATATTTATTAAAAATATATTGTGAGTAAATAGTAAGTTGAAGTTTATAGTTGTGTTCGTGTAGAATTTATTTCAATTCATTTGATAAATAGCGAGTAATTAAATTGAAACCGCTTTATCGAGAAAGTGTACGCTGCAGTTTGCACTATTTAAATTCCCTGGAGTCTGGATTTGTGACCAGTGTATAGCAAAAGGCTCAACCCCTATTATATGGGACGTATAACATAACTGAGGACTAGTGGTAGTACTACATACCTCTGCATACTCCATCGGGGAAATACAAGCGTGATGTTATGTTTATTAATTGAATGATAATGACTAGCAGGAGTACTACACACCTCTGCTTACTCTTTCGGGGAAATACAGGCGTGATATTATGTTTATTCATTTAAAGTAAAACCATAGACATAGAGCATGGGCTGAGTCTCCCCTAGCCAAATGTCAAATAAAATTGACTATACGCAAGATCCATACTTTTAAACTTAAAAGTAAATTCCCTATTCAAAAATCAATTCCCCCAACGAGTAATGTCGTAAAAGAATATGAAACTAATTATACCTTTGAACTTAATTTTTTATTATATCGTTTACATGTGGCCAGTTCTAAAAACTTTCAGTGTCGCCCTCGTACTAAGGTTTCAACTAATAGAAGAATGGTGTGAGATTTAGATATCCTTTTTGATTTGACACATCTATTGGTGCGCCTTGACATTAAAACAGACTTATGCCGTCACGTCTCTCCACACTCAACTCCCTTGTGTGTGGGTGCGCGTTTACTATACACCTCGTTGCTTCTCTGTGTGAGTTTGTACTCCGTATGCCGTTTTATTCGACTATAGTATACTTAACGCATTCACCGCTTGTTTCCACTGTCGAATACAGGCCTCCCCTATAGATTGCCTTATAGAGGGGATATTTGCCATAGTTTCCACGCTTGGCAAGCGGGTCGGCAATCGCAGTTTTTTATTTTAAGTTGTTACTAGGAAGACGGTGCTGCCCTTCTGATTTGTTTCCCTCTGTCGCCTCTTACGACACCCACGAGATGATATGTGGTAGTGGATATTTTTACACCGCCCCTACGTGGTACACACACTTTGTATTTCTTTTTAATATTATTACATTTGTTTTACTCAATATCTCTTTATTGGTTTTAATTAATTTTAAATTCTACCATCAACTATGATGTTCCAAGGGTGTCTTGTGAATGCCAAACCATTTTGTTTACCGAGGTAAGGTTGACAAACGAGCATATAGTTCATCTGATGGTAAATTGACACTGTAGCCAACAGGTATCAACGAAAAATGCAGATGCACCCCTAAGGGTTCAGATGAAATGATCAATGAAAAGGTTCTTCTACACTCCATATGAAGCACAACAGCATTATTATTTATAATCAGATCCAGATCAATTCGTATAGCATACAAAGCATACAGCTGCAGCGTGGCTCTATCTTGTACAACAATGACGTCGACTACACTCTTTTTTGTTTTAAAAGATCAAAAATATCATTAATCAGCCTTTTATGAAGTCACATACATGGTTTTCAAAGAATGCTCTAATTGACGTGCATAATTTAGAATATTTGCCCACACTCTCTTTGTGAAGTTAGATTAAGAGTTTTTAACGTAGTTTTTGGCATCATTAGATCAATACAGATTCGTGTGGTGGCAGCGCTAGAATAACTTTTATTTGAACATATCTTGAAATATTGTAAAATTAGACTAGGGAGTATATCAGGAGAATCTGATTTCTTCGAGACATGCCTAAAAACGTCACGTTTACCAAGAGCTCTGCTTGCTGGGGCATTTGGAGAAAGGGTCACTGTTACGGCGTGCAGCTGCTATATCTAATAATAGGATCCTCCCGGGCCCGTGGTAGGAAGAACCTACAGGCAGATGCAGGTCGGGCCTTTAAGGCCAAAGTGGAAGGTCTCTAATTAAAATAAACAATAAGGGGGAAAGACCGGTAAAGGAAAGGCACTTATCTGCTTCTGGAGCGGAGACGGTTCACCAGGATCTGCCCGGCTGATGGAAGTGTAGTGAATGTATGTGTGCTTTGTATGACTCTGTGTGTAAGTGGCCTGGGCTAGATGACACAATACTGTGCTGAAGAAGGTATCCGCTGGTAGCCCCGGAACTATTCCCCTCTTGAGGCACTCTTTCCGTTTTGTTACGTACGTTAAAAGATTCACGTTTCAAATCTATAATATTTTTGCCTAAACAGTCACAATCACTATTATTATTGTCTATTACAAATTCATTGCTGAACATAGCCTCCCGCTATAGATCTCCACAAAAGCTTAAATGTACGTATATTAAAGAAAAGGGTATTCCGCCTTTTGTCTTTTCCCCTTTTACTGTTTTATTTTTCACTTTGTTACATAAATAATTGTACTTGTTAGCGCCAAGCTGCAGCTTTATTATGGTTATAGCACAAATGGGTCGTCTCCGGCCGGGGAAGGACCACGTTCTTACAGAATACCAGCGTAAAATAGTAGTTTCATGTTGCCGTTTCGTATGGTGAGAGAACTGAAGACTCTTTTTACTGGATACGAGACATTCCATTTTAGTTCTCAAGGGTGACAACACTTCTGGATAGTGATTCGTAATCGAGGGTAAATGTATATGTCTATGGGTCACAGTATACTCTTACCATCAGGTAAACTGTGTGTTCCCTTGTCACCTTTATTCTATACAAAAAATGTTTTGGCTCGCATTTATCCTAGTCTATCGCTTGTATTTTGGAAACGTGTCTGTACGGTCGTGTCGGTGGGTGTGGGTGTGCGTGTGCAGGCGGCGATAGTGGTGGGCATGGGGTTCGCGACGAACTCGCTGGGGCTGCCGGGGCTGCTGGGGCCGGGCACGCTGGCGCTGAGCGACGAGAACAACCACGCGTCGCTGATCCTCGGGCTGCGCCTGGCGCGCGCCGCCGTGCGCGTGTTCCGCCACAACGACCTGCGCCACCTGGAGCAGCTGGCGCGCGCCGCCATCGCCGAGCGCCGCTGGACCAACATCGTCATCGTGAGTACCCCTCCCGCGCCGCTGATCCTCGTGCGCGTGGTCCGCCACAACGACCTGCGCCACCTGGAGCAGCTGGCGCGCGCCGCCATCGCCGAGCGCCGCTGGACCAACATCGTCATCGTGAGTACCCCTCCCGCGCCGCTGATCCTCGTGCGCGTGTTCCGCCACAACGACCTGCGCCACCTGGAGCAGCTGGCGCGCGCCGCCATCGCCGAGCGCCGCTGGACCAACATCGTCATCGTGAGTACCCCTCCCGCGCCGCTGATCCTCGTGCGCGTGGTCCGCCACAACGACCTGCGCCACCTGGAGCAGCTGGCGCGCGCCGCCATCGCCGAGCGCCGCTGGACCAACATCGTCATCGTGAGTACCCCTCCCGCGCCGCTGATCCTCGTGCGCGTGGTCCGCCACAACGACCTGCGCCACCTGGAGCAGCTGGCGCGCGCCGCCATCGCCGAGCGCCGCTGGACCAACATCGTCATCGTGAGTACCCCTCCCGCGCCGCTGATCCTCGTGCGCGTGTTCCGCCACAACGACCTGCGCCACCTGGAGCAGCTGGCGCGCGCCGCCATCGCCGAGCGCCGCTGGACCAACATCGTCATCGTGAGTACCCCTCCCGCGCCGCTGATCCTCGTGCGCGTGTTCCGCCACAACGACCTGCGCCACCTGGAGCAGCTGGCGCGCGCCGCCATCGCCGAGCGCCGCTGGACCAACATCGTCATCGTGAGTACCCCTCCCGCGCCGCTGATCCTCGTGCGCGTGTTCCGCCACAACGACCTGCGCCACCTGGAGCAGCTGGCGCGCGCCGCCATCGCCGAGCGCCGCTGGACCAACATCGTCATCGTGAGTACCCCTCCCGCGCCGCTGATCCTCGTGCGCGTGTTCCGCCACAACGACCTGCGCCACCTGGAGCAGCTGGCGCGCGCCGCCATCGCCGAGCGCCGCTGGACCAACATCGTCATCGTGAGTACCCCTCCCGCGCCGCTGATCCTCGTGCGCATGTTCCTATGACCTGTATCTACCACAGAGAGCGCTCTGAGGAATTGTTCAATTGTTCGGATTAAACCTAGCCGCCAAATTTCACGAACGCACATCGCAGCAAAACTCCCGACATCAACTACACCATCTGAATACTTGGCGGTTCACCACTGTACTTTTTACTAGGAGTTTTTTTCCCTGTAGAATAGTTTACCACCGGCGATTTTTCCGGACTGACGACTTAGGGACCTTCAAGAAAAGAGCTTAATATTTTCTAAAAGACCGGAAAAGCACCTGTAATTCATGCAGTTGTTCATGGGCGACGATAGTCAGTTACCATCAGGTATGCCGTATACTCGTTTCTCGCCCCCTCTCCTATATAAAAAAATTATTTTCCTAAACTTATGAATTGTTATTATTTGTGACTTTCCATGTACAGCTTGTCGCATGCCCGATGAACTGACCAATGCTTCCGGCACTTTCCACGTTTGTTTTAGATTTTGTCGCAACTTACAAATATCACTGCTGCAACTTTAACTGTTAACATAATTGTCTAAAATATTCGATGAATTTTGTTAAATATTATTAAGGTTTAAATTATAGTGTAGTATTAATAGGATACTATTATTGACTCTATTTCACGTCGCGGGTCTAAGCGGTATTTTGCATCTGATGTTAATGTATTAATAATAAACCATCATACTTTGGAAAGCCTAAAACTTTTCGAGCATTATGCTAATTGTATTTAAGAATGCTTGTAATATATTCTATTGTAATTTAAGAATGGAAAAAGAGAAATGGAATGTGTGGTAACGTGCAGGTGCTGGAGGGCGTGTACAGCATGGAGGGGTCGATCGTGCCGCTGCAGGGCGTGGTGGCGCTGAAGAAGCGGCTGGGGCTGCAGCTGTACCTGGACGAGGCGCACTCGGTGGGCGCGCTGGGCGCGCACGCGCGCGGCGTCACGGACCACTGCGGCGTGGAGCCCGGCGACGTGGACGTGCTCATGGGCACCTTCACCAAGAGCTTCGGCGCCGCCGGCGGCTACATCGCCGGTGCGTTGCGTCGCTTCTAACTTCTCCATTACTATATTTACCATCACTAAGTAAACTCATAAACGCTTGTGTTAAAAAGTGGTTCACCACAGCAGTCTAATGGCGGATTCGAAACCACGACTTTCTGAGTTTGCAATCCAAACCATACCATTAGGCTTAGGCTTCAATATTATTATTTTGAACTTTGACTTCAATTCTAGTTCTGATTCTTTTTGATGCAAATCAAATCCTTGTCTGTGACTCCTTTGACATAGGGTAGTACAGCAGGTACACGCTCGACTGTGGCCGGCTTCACTCAATCACTGTGACGTAGGCGCGAGACCCGAAGCTTGTTGTCCTGCAATACTTGCTTACCGTGCTGAAGCTCGGCGGCAATTTTTTTTACACAGATCCCTCGTGCTCTCTGAAACAAAGATTTTCCCACGGTAGCTAACTGTGATGGATGATGGTGCAATTCACCATCATCGTTAATATGGTTTTTTTTTCCTATACACAGTGTGACCAATGGTATTATCAGAATTTCGGATCAATAAAACATCTAGGAATGCTAAAGAATTGTTTGCCTCTAACCCCATTGTGAATTGTACATCAATCAATTTGACATCAATACAATTTACTAAAAATGAAATTAGTTATTCACCTAACTTATACCTTGGTACTTTTAACCTTCTACCTACGTTTAATCTACCTTGTTACGGTACACTGACTGATCGCCTAGGGTAGATGAAATTCTTATATTTGAGAAATAATTATTAGAAAGGTACTTATAATATGACCACGTTGCTTAGGTAAGGAAGGTAATCAAAAATCGACTACTGAAGTAAAACGTAATACTAAATCTAAAATGCATATAAAGTCACGTTATAAGTCGTTTTACTGTTCCGAGTAATTATCCAACTTTATCAACGTGACAAAGTCACGATTATTTTTGGTAACCGGAACTACGGTCTCGGCTATTTAAAAATAACTCCAAGTCTAGTCGCCTCTTACGAGACCCACGGGATGGTATGGATATTCATACACCGCCATTACACGGTAATTGATAGCTTCTGAAACACGGTAATTGATAACATTACAGCTGCTTGGATCATTTTATACTAAAATTAAATCAAACTATTTTTGTACAGATCGCTGTACTGAACACTACTATCACAGATCATGCTATGATATTACTAAAATTAAGTAATATTAAACAAAACGCAATTAATGTTAAAATTAAATATAACACTGACTTTCATAAAGCACTTGTCAGTCTAGCTCAAAAAAACCTTCTTTTTAGTGATAATCCTGACTATATCATAGATCAATTAATTTATAAAATAAGAGAATCAATTGAAGAAAATACAAAAATAGTAAATATTCCTAGTAAGAAGCGAAAAATTAAACTATGGACAGGTATTATAAAATGTATACGAAATAAAAATTGTATGCAAAAAAAGCTAAGATCGGATCCTTGTAAAGAAGTATTAAAAATTACATATAAAAGGTAACGCAACTATGTTACTAAATTAATTAATAAGCTTAAACGAGAATATGAAAGGAAACTTCTAGCAATATCAACTAAATCAAATAAATCTCTCTGGAAGCACATAAAGGACATAACTTATACAAAACAATCACGTGTTAATAGTTTGGACTTATTAAGTACAGTACGAAATCCTCACTGGGTGATTCGATTGATAAGGTAAACGAGTACTTTTAAGAGTAAAAACCTTGCCGAGATTTTAAATACTAACAATCCTGATATTTGTTTTTTGTCATATTTGATTATCACATGAAACTGTATCTGTACAGGCACAACTAATAGGCAAACCTATCCGGAAGAGATAAATAGTATTATTTCAGGTCTCAAATCAGATTCCGCCCCTGGATGGGACAATATTTTAATAGGTTTTCTCAAGATGGCTAAACAACTACTTGTCCCCATCTTCTGTCGATTTGTTAATATCTGTTTTGAAAACGGTGTCTTTCCGAAGCTGTTGAAGCGATCTATTGTAATTCCGATTTACAAAAGTGGAGGTAAGAAAGAAGCTAGTAATTATATACCAATCTCCTTGCTACCTGTGTTCTCGAAAGATTTTGGAAAAGTTAATTAACAACTCAATTTGGCTTTAGAAAGAGATGCTCTACGGAAGATGCAGTTGCTGCGTTGAGTTCTCAAACTGTTAGATAACGGTATAAAATGTCTTTCTGCCTTCCTGGATTTAAAAAAAGCCTTTGATACTGTATTAATCCCTATACTTATTAATAAATTAGAACGGATAGGAATCAGAGGTATACCTCTAAAACTTTTAAAGGACTACCTCACTGACAAGACGCAGACGGAAAGAATAGGTCAATACACTAGTAGATATATAATTGTAAATTATGGAGTACAGCAGGGAAGCGTCTTGGGTCCTACGCTATTCTTAGTGTATATTAATATTCTATGTAGTATGAGTGTGAACAGGGAGTGAGTTTTCTCATACGCAGATGACACTGCGATGTTGTTTTGGGGAGACATGTGGGAAGAAATGCAGTTAATAGCGGAAAAAGAATTAGCTAAGGTTGCTCGTTGCCTTGATAACAACTTACTTTGAATGTTAGTAAAACTAAAATATGTTTTTCTATGACTAGTCGATCACAGCTAAAGGATGATTTTAGAATCCAGAGGTAACTGTACGTGTACATCTATTGAAAAAGTTTCATATACAAAGTATCTGGGCGTTATGGTGGATCAGCGACTTTCCTGGTACAGACATGTAATTAGTGTCTAGTAGAATTTGAAAACTCACTTGGATATTTAAAACTAAGACATGTTGCCAGTATAGATCTTTTAAATCGCTTGTATATGTGTAGCGCTTGCTCAATCCGTTATAATATATTGTATACCAATTTTTACTTACAAAAGTAAATTTATTGAAGTTGAGAGAGCTCAGGGATGTCTACTAAAGGTACTACTAAACATTTTAAACCGTACAGGTACTCCACTAGCTTTTTGTATTCATCATGTGGGCTGATTTCGGTGAGGCAGTTGTACATATAACACACTTTAAAACATAAGTCTTTGGCTTTTAATCCTACTTACAGTAGTAAAAGAAGAAATTATAGCGTAGCTCCTATTTGGAGAACGAAAACCACCTTTGCGAAACATCAATATGAAAAACTTATACAATCATATTAATAAAATATTGCATATACATAAATCCATTAAAGCCATATATCTGTAGAAAACAAATTATGCAGTTGCTTAAGACAATTACGATCAAACTGAAGCTTTATTACAATTTATCTTATAACACATTCACTCACTGTTTTTTTTTTCACACACTCACACACACACACACACACACACACACACACACACACACACACACACACACACACACACACACACACACACACATACGCACGCACGCACGCACGCACGCACGCGCGCTCGCACACACACACACACACACACACACCTGTTTCTTTTTTGTTGAATGTATTTAGTTAAGGGAGGGCGAGGACCTTCTACCATAAGTATCTTTATGCTTAAAAGAAGTCCTCAAACTTGTACTAATTTAAGAATATGTTGGAAACATACCGCCGCGTCTACGTGCTGTTTTCGAGAGTCATTACGAACGCGCGCAGACTTGACGACTTCCAGCCTCCCGAACAAGTTTCCGAAAAGGCTTTAGCACCATAGACCACATACATACCCTTCGCCAAATTGTACAGAAGTCCGAGGAGTACAATTTGCCACTACGTCTGGCGTATATGGACTATGAGAAAGCCTTTGATCCCGTCGAAATTTGGGCGGTGCTGTAGTCCCTTCAGCGGTGCCAAGTTGACTATCGGTATATCGAGGTGTTGAAGTGCTTGTACAGAAGGGCTACCGATGGCTATCCATTTGCAGAGAGGTGTAAGACAGGGTGACGTCATATCCCCGTAACTCTTCACCGCTGCATTGGAAGACGTTTTCAAGCTTCTGGACTGTAAAGGATATATATCTTCATATATATCAACATCAATGGCGAGTACATCACTCACCTTCGATTTGCCAACGATATAGTCCTTATGGCAGAATCGCTGGAGGACCTAAACACTATGCTCAATGACATCAATAGTGTTTCTTTTTTTTATCTATCTTTATTTAAAAAGGCTTTTATCCTACAAGGATATGTCAGCCTTATCGTAACCTAGCTTGTTCCCGTTTCACCAATGCTTTTTGGAAAGGGGCAATCAATGTGGTAAAAATATGGTACTGACTGATTTTGCTACCGCTGAGTGTGGCTCCGCAAGTATACTCAAAAACCAACCCGTTTCACACAAATTGATACTAAATTTTTGTACCAGATTCTCCCTTTCCCCTTGATATTTGACACATTCTGCTAGCATATGTTGTACATCTTCTATAATATGACAAATATCGCAATTGGGCGAGTCTGCTTTTTTCATTAAAAATACAAATTTTTTATTGGGGTAGTGCCCAGAACGTAATCTATGAATAACAATTATATGGTTTCTATTCATTTTAATATTGTTATACCACGGTATTCGAAGAGGCTGACTTTGTATTGTTTTATACCATATTCCCTTTTCCCTGCTTCTTTCATCGAAATACTCTCTAAATTTATCATAACACAGGTTTTTGAATTTTGTCAATATTTCCGTGTAAATTGGTAAAATATTTAATTCGATTCCATGCGTTATAGCTGCTTTTGCTAATCGGTCAGCCTCTTCGTTTCCCTTTAAACCTATATGCGATGGAACCCATTGCAATTTTATGTTTATATAGCGACTTCTGTAATTATATAGTTGGTTTAATATCCCATAAGCTATCGGTGCACCTCTGCTATGACCAGAGGCGCATCGAGCTAAATGTTGTAAAGCGCTTTTGCTATCTGAAAAAATAACAAAATATTGTCCACTTAAATTGCTAATATATTTCAAAGCTTCAGATATTGCCACGAGTTCCATCGTCATTATTGATAGTCTTAGTTCTGTTCTAAACATAGCTGTAATTTTTTCTTTAG